GTCAATTACATATTTAATCTAACAAAAGTCAATACCAAATAATCTAACCAAAAGCACATGTAAATTGGAGGTCATGAAACAAAAGTACACATGATTAAAAGTTTGGTGAATTTTTTGGCACACATATGAGTTTTTAATGAATTTTTTAATTTAGACCAATTAGAAATAGACATGTGTCGGCTTGCTATTGGACAATTTAAAAAAGAATCAAAATCAAAAGCGCTGACGTCTGACGTGGAGTCTTCTTCTTCCTTGAACTATGCCTCTGCGACTTAACTTCAAATATTGTAGAAAAACTTCAAAATTTCATAACTTTGGTTGTGGAGCTCCGATTGATGAGCCGTTTTCTCCTACATGCTCGTGAGATCGAGCCCAACAATATAAGGTAAATATTCAGGGTCTCACAATGCAGCAAACAATACAACGTCTTTGAGGCATTTAGTCGAACAATTGGTGGGCACTAGCAAAGGGGCAAATTCTGGCATCCCCAAGGAAGTTTCCGGCGAGGGGAGGTGCAGCTGCACCTCCTTGCGCCTCTGTGGATCCGCCAGTGCGTGGGCTGTAGCCTAGGGAAGTTTAAAAAAAAAAAAAATAATAAACCTATATCTATATGGCCCACTACAAGAAGTATGTTGCCTTTTGGTTTTTTAATTGCAAAATATGCCACTTTTATTATTATTATTATTTTTGGCAAAGTCTGGTGTCTATTTTTATTTGCAGCCTTTTTTTTTTGGGTGAAATTATCTGCTGCTTTTGACCAAAGGTTTTTGAATAAGAAAAACAAAAGCCTATATGACTCACCATCAACTACAACACATTAGGGAAATATTATTTTCTAAATATTATTTGTATTCTCTTTTAAGAATGAAACAATATGCTAACCCAATTATATTATTCTTGTGTTTACAACTAATATATAAATAAAACTTAATTATTTATATTTTTTTACTTTGTATTTGTGAAGCAAGAATTAAGAGAGACTAGAGAGACAAGAGAGCAAGGAGGGGAGAGTGGCCTTCAGGAACCCATATCCTCTGCTATAATTTTCTCTGCTATGATATGCTTGACTTTCGTTCTTCACATGCCATCTTATTAAAATCTAATATAAGGGATTTAAACTGGACACATCATCTTTAAAATAAAAACTCAATTTACTCGTACTTAAAAATAAAAAAAGCCCTAACTTGACTAACTCTAACTTAACGTTCTAACAATTTTTTTTTCCATCTTCTTTCTTCTTTGCACATCTCCCCTCTAAAATTTGAGGGCTTATCCATCTTTTCTTTTCCCGATTTCCCCTATCAAAAGAAAAAAAACACGTATCTTCCCACATATCTATTGCAGATGATAAGGGTGGTTCCAAAAGTCAATTTACAAGGGATATCAAAAGGAAAAAGTTCAAGAACATACAACTCAACAATATTAATCAAAACAATGTCATAGTCACCACCAATTAGTTTTGGTGAGACATAGAGAATTTTTGAATTAAACGGGGCATGAGTAAGATTTTTGCACATAAATGAAGGAAAGAAGAGAAGAAGATCATGTTGCTGGAACAAAAAAAAATTAAGAGCATGTGGCAGGAATCCAAAAAAGAAGAATAGCATGTTTATTGGGGTTTGGGAGAAGGAAAGTTTGCTAAGAGCTTGAAAAGTTCGAGTTAGTCAAATTAGGGTTTTTTTAATTTTTAATTTTTAAATTTTGAATTGGGTAAACTGCCAAATACCCCATGAACTATCACACTAGTTGAAATCTACACCCTGAATTAATTTTTAGCCAATTTAGCACTCATACTAAATTTTGTTACCAATTTACCCCCCACCGTTAGTTTTTGGCAATTTCCATCCAAATCTCTGTTAAAAACACCACGTGAATGGTACATGCCAACCCTACAACCCAAATCTCTTGATCATTCTTCTCTCTTTTTCTTCGTCTCTCTTCTCTTTCTCTTCTTCCACATCCCTTCCTCACCCCCTACACACCCAACGGCAGCCTCACATAAAAGCCCACCAGACCACCACCTCCTCTCTCTCTCTCTCTCTCTCTCTCTCTCTCTCTCTCTCTCTCTCTCTCTCTCTCTCTCTCTCTCTCTCAACTCATAAATATCCAATTCGAAAATAAAATTATACTAATTCATAAAACTGGCTTATTCTTGCATAGCTTAGAATTGGGGTTTTCCACTTCATCCACTTTCTCAACCTTCACAGCTAATGAATTTACTTCGACATCCACAACATCCAAACCTTTCTCAGGCAAATTGAGTTTAAAAGCAGGAGATGCATCGGACCCATCAACGGGTTTCATCGTAAAATCAGCACCATCCGATTGTTTCGCATCCTTGTCGACCCCAGAAGGCCCAGCTTCGCAATCAACAACAACATTCTTTGGTGCTTTGAATTTAGTCTTGGGGTGTGTCAAAGTGTTCACCTTTCAAATTTACCCTTATATTTGACGGGCATTTGGATGAAATTGTGAAAAGGCTAACGGTAAGGGTGAAATTGGTGAATAAATTTAATACAATGGCTAAATTGGCTGAAAAATTAATTCAGGGTGAAGATTTCAACAAACGTGATAGTTTAGGGGGGGTATTTAGCAGTTTACCCTTTTTAATTAAGAGTAAATTGGGTTTTATTTTAAGGATGATATGTGCAGTTTTAATTCTTCAAATTAAATTTTAATGAAGTGGCATGAGGACGAAAGTCAAGCATATTATGGCAGAGGAAATCATAGCAGAGGATCCAAATCCTTTGAGGAAACGACAACACTAACATCAAGTTTAGATTTTTATTTATTATAAAAATAATTAAACTTTATGCTGTAACGAGCTATTGTTAGATTGAAGTTCCCCATCACCCTTTTTAATCTATGTTCTCAATCAAATCCTGCTTTCAAAACCCGCTCCCTAATACCGCTCATGTTCTCTGAATTTGATTCTACATCGTCTTTGATGGAGGTTACTGCAAATATCCCAATTGTTCTTTGGCAAGGTTTTTGTTTTTGTTTCTTTGTTCGCACAGGTAGATCGCTGAAAATCATATTTTCCCCATATCTGTTACAGATGCGGTGGTGGGTGTGGCCGCAACGGCTCTTCTTCAAGTGGTAGTGACAAGGTTCATCTAGGCTCATGGGTTGTTTTAGGGTTTTGGTTATGTTGTGTTTGTGGGCTTTGTTTGGGCTTATGGTTAATTGTGGTGATGTGAGCTAGTAGTTTTAGTGCGGATTTTGTTTTGTGTTAGTTTTTCTTTTAGCATGCTAGTTGGTTGCCCTCTTGAGATTGGTATTTTAGATGTCTTGTTGATGTCCTTAATTGTATCATTGAAGTTTATCTAATGAAATTTCTTTAAATAATTAAAAAAAAAAAAAAAAAAAAAAGAATAATATCAACATCCTTGGGGTATTTGATTAAGAATTTTTAGGTGGGACTCGCGTATTTAATGATTTCATGAGAAGCGAGGAATGAAAACCATTTCATTTATTTTCATTCCCATTACTTGTAAGTAAACGTGCCATGTTCCTTAATTCCTCTATTCCTAAGTTCATAAATTCATGACTTACCCCATTCCTAGTAAGTAAATTTAAAATTAATGGAGGTGTAGAATTAACATTTCATTAATCCTAGTTAATTGCAAGGGGTTTGTAGCTCAAGTGGTTAAAATAATTTATCTATGCATCCTAGTTAATTGCAAGGAATTTGTAGCTCAAGTTCGATTTCCCCTATCTCAATATGGCTTGTATAGAAGAAAAAAAATCCCATATATTTTTAAGAGCTACTAACAAATAACATGAATTATAGGGTGTAAATGGAATAAATGAAACTTGTGGGGACTGACTTTAAGTAGTTGGGGTGGAACTGAAATTCATCTAGTTTTTCTATTTAAATCTCACACTTTTCTTTGTTCACCCAAATACTTAAATCATTAAACTAATGTAGACTTGCTGCTGGGTGCATGATTCCAGTACAGGAGTATCTGCCTTTGATTTCCCCGTGTTGTGACATGCAATTAATCATTAAGTTTTATTATTGTGTAAAAAGACAAAAAAGGTCATCCAACTTAATACTTAACTCTAGTTCATCTATATACACATCCCACCACTCTTCATATTAAGTTATAGAAAAAGAACATGAAGTATCCTAAATTTTCTTTTAGTATGTCAGTTTACATATCAATTTAAGTTTAACTGTCAACATTTTTATATCAAAACCTCCTAGTTCATTCTCAAATTTTAAATTATAAAATAATAATAATAAAATAACTGCTACACATTTGACAACAATGTTTTTATCTCTTTAAGTAATGTGAGGTTGAAGAGTTATATATATAGTCCTCTTCTATTGAGGGATCCCTCAAATAATTTTATTTGAGAGACACACTTTAGGATACCCTACGAATTTATTTTCAACGATCCAAACCATCTATTTTTTAAGTCTATATTCATAGATCATCCTTACAAAAAATTAGACAAATCGGAAACCGTTTCCACATCCAATTGTGTCCTACAAAATCAATGAACACGGTGCTTCAAGAAAGTACTAAAATTTCAAGAACTCAATTGAGTGGTCAAATGATATCGGATTCAAGTGATTTTTTGTAGAGATGATCTTTGAATGAGTATCTACATAGTGAAATACAATCCGGAGTGGGCATTACAAAGAGTGTCCCTAAAATAAGTTTATTTGAGAGATCCCTTAATGGAAGCTCTCTGTATATATATATATATATATATATAGTTAATTACTGTATATGTCCTTGAACTATGGCCCCAGTTGCAATTGGGTCCATGAACTAATTTTTGAAGCAATGAAATCCTTTAATTAGACAATCAGTTGCAATTAGGTCATGTCGTCCAACTCTGTCAAATTATCCGTCAAAATGAGGGGTAAAAGCGTCCTTTCGAGTTTCAAGACTCTCATTCGAATTTGAACACTCATCTTAAACCCTTCGCTTCGACCCCCAAATGAAAAGTTGAAGAACTGAGAAGGGGCTACGAGGGAAGGAAAAATGTTGGAGAGTTCGACAAGTTCAAATTGCAGCTGTCGTTACTGCGAGTGTGGGTCAGAAATCAAACGTCAGACTTCATGGACAGATTTGAATCCTGGAAGAAGATTTGAGGCATGCTGCAATAATCGAGTAAGTTTTTGTTTGAATTGCATAACAGTAATTGGTGTTTCGTTTTTTGGCATGGTTGAAGAATGAAATTGGTGTTTTGTTGGGCCTGAAATTGGTGTTTCATTTTGTTTGAATTGCAGAACAGTAATAGTGGGTTGCATTTTTTCGCATGGGTGGAGAATGAAACATGCCCACGAGGAAAGGAAATCTTGTTTGGGTTACTTAGAAGACTAAGAGGAATGGAAGAAGAGAAGAATACATTAGAGCAAAAACTGAGAGAAGAGGAAGAAGAAATCAAGATTTTGAAAAAACAGAATCTGGGAATGGGTCAACAAGTTGTTGTACTTGAAGGGGAAATTTTGAGTTATCGACAAAGACAAAGGTGGTTCTGGGTTGTTGTTGTGTTGTGTTTTATGATTGTGATATTGTTCATCAATATGGATGATTTGGTAGTGTAGAAATGGTAGGAAATGGGCATAATGTTGTATATACTCTTCAACAGCTTTTGATGGCATGGGCATAGTGTAGAAATAGGCAGGAATTGGTAGTGTAGAAATGGGCAGGAATTGGTAGTATAGAAATGGGTAGAAACCTGGGCATAAGGTTATTTTTTGCCTCTTTGGCAGTGTATCAGATGTTTTGCTATATAAGTTGATTTTGTGCTGAATTGGATGTGTATACCAAATGATCAAGGGCACATTACATACAATCCAAAAGGCTTTAATTACCAATTAACATTCACCAACTGCACATTACATACAATCCAAAATACACCTAAACATTACATAGAATAGGCAAAAGGCACCTTCAAAATAACATTACCAAATAGCATACTTGAGTCTATAATTGTTCACCCAAAATATACATCCACATAGTAAGTACTTAAGAGTCCAAAAATAGGTCTTAAAAGTCCACAAAATATGTCTTCACAGTCTATACTTGTCCTCCTATTTTGACACTGTGTTTGAATCTTCCTTTATGGGGTGTGGTTTGTTGAGTAAGTGAAGAGGATGATGGTTGCAAGGGCACTTGTTGTGAGTATGTCATTGGCAGATTGACCCTTCCTTGACTGATATCACTTACCACCTAAGATAAAAACCACAAACAACATATATTACTATATAGGCAAACATAAAAAATATGAGTTGGGCAAGAATAATAGGCAACTAACTGGTTGTGAAGATGACATCCTTGCAGCTGGATTCCAAAAGCCTCATCTTCCTCTACCTCTGCCTTTTCCCCTACCCCTATTAACTTGAATTTGGGCTGGGCTAGTGTAAGTTTGAGTTGGGGCAGCTTTTTTTTGGATTAGGGCAGTGTCAGTTTGGGCCAGGGCAGCATTAGTTTGGGTTGGGGCAATATCATTTTGGCCTGCATTTCCATTGTCAGCTGCTTGAAGTTCATTTTGGCCAACATTCCCATTTTGGGTCGCCTTAGCCTACACAACATACAAGCACAGCTATAAAAAATCACAACCACAGCTGACCACAACCCAAATAATTAAAATGCATAACAAAACCCAAATAATTAAACAATTTGTCTTCCACATCCTCTTCGATTGTGGCCTTCTTTTCCACATTTAATTTTAATGAAGAGTCTTCTAAGTTTTGCTGCTAGAGCAGTGTAACCTGGAGGCAAAGGGTTTGGTGGGTTTGGGGCTGGTATTTGAACCTCAGCAGCTTCATTTGTCCTCACTTTCTTGGGTCTGCCTGGTTGACGCTTATGAAATTGAGGTCTAATTGGAGGCAAGCCACCCTTAACCCAATGATCCATAGAAGGGATGGGGTGAACTATTGGTTCATATGACCTCATGTAAGTCTTTGGCTTATAACACTCATGTACATATTCAACAGGGTTTTCATCTCTGTGGAATATAGCTGAAATAACATGTGCACAGGGTATGCCAAATAAATCTCATCTCCTACAACTACAAGACATTGCTGCAAAATCTACAACAAACTCCCCATCATACATATGACTGACTTGATACATTTTCTCCCTAGCCAATCTAGGAATGCATTGAGAAGCTCCCATCTTGTTCTTCTCAATTATTTTGAATATCCTTGGGCCAACAAGGTGTTTCCATTTACCACAAGCAGCCCTTCGATTAGCCAACCTAAACATCACATATATTCAAATACTTTCCAAACATGTCAAAATGGAATTATCTCTGGCATCAATTATAGTTGCATTAAAGCTCTCACAAGGGTTGTTCAGCAGAAGATCACATTTATACCTTGGATAAAAATGAGATCTAGTCCAATTATTGGGTGGTCTCTGCACCAACCATTTCCAAGCTTCCAAGTCCTCTTCCTTCATCTTCTCCATTTCTGCTTCCCACCAAGGAATAGTAGTGGCTCTGGCAGCTGCCCACAACATGTGTTTAAGAGTGAGACCAAGATGTATTGCTCTAAAATTATTGTACAAGTGTCGAACGCACATCTTATGTCTGTAGTTGGTAGTACATGTGCAATGGCAGGTCTGAGCCCATTTTGCTTATCACGTATGAAAGCTCAAGATAAACCATTTGTAATACCTAAATCTTCAATCAACAAAGACAGAAACCAAATCCATGAGTCCTTGTTTTCAATCTCAGCCACAACATATGCAATTGGGAAAAGACCATTATTACCATTAACTCTTACAACAGTCAATATTTGCCCAGGATAAGGACCTTTCAAATGGCAAGCATCAACCCCAATTACAGGCCTACACCCTTCTAAAAACCTTTTTTTACAAGCAGCCAGACACACATAAATCCTTTGAAATATTGCTTCACTGTTAACCAGATCACACTTAATTTTCATTGTACTACCTTTGTTGGTATTCTTCAATTGCTATGCATAGTCCCACAACCGTGCATATTGCTATCTATAGTTTCCTTCAATTTGTGCTTTAGCCAATCTCTTTGCCCTATACACTTGAGTTTTGGACACCCTCACATGATAGGACTCCAAAACTTCTCCTTGAAAAGCTTTTAGATTCCAATAAGTGTTTCTCTTAATCTTGCTAGAAAATCTCTCACAAATCCATTTGGGATTAGCAAACTTTAGTTTCTCCACCCTCCCACATGTGTGTTCTAAGCTCAATTTCTTAATTGCAAATGTTTGCACATCTTGGTTTATCTGTGAAGCATAAAGCACAAATGGACATTTTAATCGTCCTCTGCAAATTTCCTTTACTCTCGTCTTGTCATTTTTTTCAAAGAACAGTTTCCTTCCATGAATAATGGAATATTCCCTGAGTGTCTCTTTAAGAACCTGTTTGTTTTCAAATTGCATCCTAAGCTGAAACTCAGGATTCATTAAGTGCACCTCCCTTCTATATTGCTTAAACCGAGGCAGTTTTTTTTTCCTTCTCACCTTACTTATCCCTTCATTATCCCCTTCCATATCATCCCCATCACCCTCACTTTCAGTATCAAAATCTGAGGTGTGCTCACCATATGATGACACCTCTCCAAGAGCTTCAAAAGCAGGCCCCTCATTGCTACCACTCATAGTGTTCTCTGCCCCTTCACGAACATGCACTTCAACTGTCTTAAACCTAAATTCTTCTTCACTGAACTCGTAATCACTATCAACAAATTCTCCATCATCTTCTTCATTGTCTACAACCTCAGCTTCATCTTGATCTTCAACATCAACATTATCTTCCACCCCAGTTTCATCTTCCACCTGACTTTTATCTTGCACTCCAGTTTCATCTTCCACCTGACTTTTGTCTTGCACCTTAGTTTCATCTTCCACTTGAACATTGTGTTACACCTCTGCATAATTGTTTGCACCATCCAAACCTTGGCACCCAAAAGATGCTTGACTCCAAACAATATTAGAATTGCCCACTTCAGTATAGTACAACACAACAATCCTATTACATGGCATTTGGCTTGGCATGTCAACCAGTTTAGCATCAGAGCTGATAAGTTCAAGCCCACCTACACCATGGGTTCCACCCTTCTTATACCATATTTCCATATTTTGTTTAGGGTTGGAAATGTCTACATTGTAACCAAGCCTTTTTCCTACCTTTCTTAAGTCCACCAATGACAGAAAATCCTCTACAACATTATCCAAGTAACAAACTTTTCCATTTTTATACTCCCTACTTTCCAACACACCCCCATGGTGAAGTTCTAAAGTACATTTTTCATGGTTACTTGCACAGTAAACAATGGTCAAAACAATGCTAAAACACACACACCTGTTTTGGAATCGTAAAATCAGACAAAACCATGTTTTAATTCAATGTTCTGCACCAAAACCAAAATATACAGTACACAGTTCGTTCAGTTTTTTAATTGCTATGGAATAACTTCAGTCCATTTGGTGTGAGGCATAGATAGAAGACAAGAAGGGATAAAAAAAACCTAAGTGTTGTAGTCAAGGATAGTATAAAGCAAAGTGTGTAAGGAATTTTTAAAAGCTATGGACCACACAGATGAAAATAAAACCATCTGATAAGTATTCAAACAGGTAGAATCACTTACTGTATTTAGGAGCAACACCACTCCAACGGAAGTCAAACTCTTCCATCACTATCAGCCAAAAGGACGAAAAACCCAACTATCCCCAAAATGAAATCCTAACCTTTAACTGTACCCCCGATCAACCCCAAATTTCTCAGCTTACACAGAAAATTTCTTACTCACTCAGTCATTGCTGCAACAAATTTAACTCAAATAGCTGCCTCAGAATGGATAGCTCACTGTATGCAACTTCAATGGCTGCCTCAGAAGGGATAGTTCACGTGCTTTCCCCCCTTCTTCATCGCTAAATTGGATTTGTTTTGTTCAAAACGACGAAAAGTCGAAGATACCCCGAACAACAAGAGCATGTGACACTCACATGGTCAATCTCGACGAATTCTGTTACGGCATGACTTAATTGCAACTGATTGTCTAATTAAAGGATTTCATTGCCTCAAAAATTAGTTCACGGACCCAATTGCTGGGGTCATAGTTCAAGGACGTCTACGGTAATTAACCATATATATATATATAATTTTTTTTTCTTTTTTCTACTGGGTGTGTATTTATGGGTAGTTTGAGGAGATACTGAGATTATTTTAGAAATTATGAAAATTTGAATTAGAAGTTGAGGTGAACTTAGAATATGGATGAACATCGAGAAGTACGGGGTTTAAATAAAAAAATTCAATTCGTCTTCATGTTGCAATATAAGTTCAGATTGAACCATAAAATCTGTTTCAAACAAATAAAAGAACGGAAAAACATCTTCCTTTTCAAGTAAAGCTCTAGTCTTGGTTTCTGAACCTTCTACTTCAGCATAGGGCTTCCCATGGACGGGATGAATGAACAGGAGAGAGCCATTGCTTGGCTTTGGGCCATTGAAGCCCTGGCAAGCTTTAGAGAAGTTGATGTATCTCTTTTACATGGTATCCATGAATTCATACATTCACTTCAAATGTTCATTTTTTTATTATCAATCTTTGTGACTGAAGAAGGTTAGGGTTATTCATGGTGTTTGTTACTTTTTGCTCGCCTTTTCAGACTTGGTTGAGATGGCTCCAGCTTTACCTGATGATATGGGAAAGAAGGCAAAGGAAAGGGTCGCTTTGAGATGTTTGGAAGGTTTGCTTGGTCCTTGTAATGTGATGAGCAGTGATGTTCCTTCTGCCCAGCATTCAAAATGCAGCTTTGATTTATCTGAAAGCTGTGAAAATGTTCTTAAACGCATTGTAGATGAGGTAAAGTCCTGCTCTTTTTGGCTTTAATATGCAAGTAATTTGGATGAATATCTGAAAGGAGGTGACTTTTGAAGCCATCCATATTCTTATTGTATTTATAGCTCCATTATGTATACCCTTTAGGATTCTTGGAGGTGGGAAATATGTTCAACTGTTAAAGGTCTAATTTTTCTTTTGTTAGACACCAGAATCTGATCTGAGAGTGGGTGGACCAGGGATGTTGAAATGGGATATTCGCCCCTTCATTATTCACAAAAGAGCTTCTTTGCCTAAATGTGCATTGAAACAGGTATCTACCTCTTTGGATTTTCTTTGTATTTTTTCTTGGTTCAATCAATTGCTCTTTATTGCCTAGAATTGGTTTTGTGGATTTTCTTTATGAGCAGCTGAAAGATTCGATTATTGATGGCACCCATCCACATGCTGATTTCTTGAGAGTAAAGAGTGGTTTAACACGAAGTTATGGTGATAGAGTTCCTGTGGGTGGTCGTAATACTAGGCTCAATGAGAGCTGCTCCAGTGCTCAAAACATGGGAGTCAAAGGGAACTCCGATCCTTTGATTAATCAGAATGAGAATAAACCATCAGAAGCAGATCCAGATAATGCAAATATATTGCCTTCCAAAGGGGATAGGATTGCCTCAGATGCTGAAAACATGGAAGATGAAAACCGTAGTAGCATAAATGATTCTGATGATTGGCATATAAACTCCAAGAAGATGAAACAAGATGGCTCTTATGTTTTACGGTCTACAGAACAGAACCAACTTCCTTTACATGGAAAAGAACGTTTGGAAGATTTGTCTGAGAGGGAAAGGTGCAACTTGGCAGGAAATCATATGGGAACGATGGAGGAAGGCACGGTCTTAGAGGATGGTCATGATGATACCGCCTCAAAGAGAAGTGGACAGAGCAGTAGCGATGCTATCCATAAGAGTCAGTCAAAAAATCATCTTAATGCCACTTCAATGCCTGAAGAAACATTGTGGGATGACGCCCATCAAGATTCAAATGTTGGTCAAGCTGAAGATGATGGTGGGCTTCATCCTGAACCAAGAACATCAGGTGTTGCTCCTTCAGATGGAACCCAACTTAATGTTTCTGCTAAAGTATTCAATTGTAATAGCGAGCATGATTTTCATATTAAAGCACCGCATCCTGCATCCGCAGATGGATCCCAAGAGAAGAGCATTGCTGAAGATGGCAAGGACTTGGCTAGGGAAAACCTGGCAGATGGAAACTGTAATAGAGTAATTCATTCTGATGATTGCTATGTAATGGCCAAAAGGATGAAATGGGATGCCTCATTTGTTTTACAGTCTATAGAGCAGAACCAAATTCCTTTACATGGAAGAGAACTGTTGGAAGATTCATCTGAAAGAGATGTTCCACTTTCTGGGAGAGAAAGGCGTGACTTGGCAGAAAATCAGATAGGAATGATGGATGGAGGCAAGGTCATAGAGGATGATCATGATTATCATACTGCCTCAAAGAGGTGTGGACAGAGCACTGACAATGCAGTCCATAAGAGTCAGTCAGAAAATCCTTGTAATGAAACTTCAATGACTCAAGGCACGTTTCAGGATGGAGCCCCTCAATATACATATGTTGATAAAGCCAAAGATGACGGTGGACTTCATCCTGAACTAAGAGCATCCTGTGTTGCTGTTCCAGATGAAACCCAGCATAAGGTTTCTGCTGAAGTATTCAATTGTAACAGTGAGCAGGATTTTCATATTGAAATACCACATCCCGCATCTGTAGATGAACCCCGACAGAAGAGCATTGCTTATGAAGACAAAGATGATACGGAACAATGTCCTGAAACAAGAATATCAGGTACTGCTCCTCTAGGTGAAACCCAGCATAAGGATTCTGCTAAAGAATCTGATTCTAACAGTGAGCATGATTCTCGCATTGAAATAGCATGTCCTGCATCTGCAAATGGGTCCCAGCAGAAGAGCATTCCGGATGAAGCGAAAGAGCTCTTGGATTGGCTACGCCATTATGAGTCAGAGACATTAACTGATAATGATGGATTTCATGATGAGAAGATTGATGTCGCCATGAAGAAGCATGCTTTCTTGAGTTCTCAATGCACATCTAGTCATCGTTCCTCAGTGACAGCTGACTGGACAGAGAGAAATCTTGGTAAGAGTAATGAAAGCGGTCAGTTGTTGATTTGTAAAACCAGTGATTGTCCTGTTGTGGTGCATGAAAATTGGCTGCGTTCCTCAGCCATTCATTATGAGAAGGGTAACTTTTACTGCCCCTTCTGTATATATTCTCTTGATCTTACTGAATACCTTGAAGCTAAGAAAGAAACTTCCCTTTTAAAGAAAGACCTAGATGCGTTTATTCATACTCTGGAACATCAGCCAAAGGAATGTCTTGGAAGACCAAACAACAAAGAGAATTTCTGCATGAGGAATTTTGATGAAGATCTTAATGAAAAAAGTCACCAGAATGGGCATTTGGGAGAGAGAGAAGAAAATCTAGGAAAGCAATGTGAAGAACATGCAAATGAAGTCAATGACTTTCAATTTCAGAATATTACAGGTGATGAACAACATGTAGCACCTTTTGCATCACGTGGTCATGTCAATTCAGAGTGTGGAGATGAAAGTGCTACTGCAGTTTGTAGAAAACTTGATGTATCAACTGGTAAAAAGGAAGAGGAAGAAAAGGTGGCCCGGGAGTGCATACCTGTAGGTGTTCCTTTGTCCAGTAAAAACACAGAAAACCTTCTTATTGACCAAGGATATGAAGTTAATTTTGATTCCGAGCAAGTTGATAATCAGAAGTCTAGCACTTCCAAATATTCTATAAGACCCCGAAGGAGCAAAATCCCTTAGTAAGTTATTGCCTTTCAAAGTGTTTGCAATTTCTATTGTTACAATATCTCACTTCATGCCTTGAAATGTAAAATACTTGTCTATCTGCTCAAAGAATGTCTAAAACAGTCAGTGTTTATGTTGCCCAGAGCTTTAATTGCAGTCCTGTATTCTCCCCAATCAACCCATACACTTACCTATTGGTTATAAAGCAGTGAGTTGAGGATTTGATTGTAATAGTTATTAATAGAGAATAAACCTTTTTTGTGTCTTGTAGCTCATACCCGGCAACTGCTCAGTTAAGGCGGATTAAAGTTCCATGGACAGTTGAGGAGGAAGAAATGCTCAAGGTTCGTAGTTTCCTTTCTAATGTTCCTTTATCGACTCAAGATTATGTTCTACTTCCAATTTACACTATATATCTCCACTTGCATTTTACACTAAATACCTGATTGTAGTTATAATTGCATATGTGTTGTTTCTATTTTTTTTATTTATTAGACTTTTTAGATATGTTGTAACATCTTTTATATTGCTGCAGAAGGGAGTGGAAACAGTTTCAAGAAATGATGAAGGAAATATTCCATGGAAGCAAATACTGGAATTTGGTGGTTCTGTGTTTCTGCATAGTCGTACCCCAATTGACCTTAAGGATAAGTGGAGGAACATATGCAGGCGAAGGTCGAAGTCGAAATGAAATGGTCAGTTTACATATAAGAATATGCTCTCTTATTTTGGTCCACCTCTAAAATTCATTTGTCAGTGTCACGGTACCAATTTCATATGAATAGTAACCGCTAACCATAAATAATGAACTAAACGTTTAAACCACGGAATTACTTAGCTTGTAGCAGTTTAAAGTGCAAACTTGAGTATATTTATTTATTTTTTTAAATCTTCATTTCCCTAAAATAATTTCCAATGTTGTGATGCTAAATTTCCTCTTGATATTGATATCAGGGATGCATCAGTGAACTCATTTCTAACTCAATCTTAAAAGCTATTAATTATGACTGAAACATTAAGTGATTTCAAACATCCGTTGATCCATGTTGCTTCTTCCAGAATCTTTCCTTTCCAACACTTGAATGATCTAAAAATTCCCGATCAATGGTTGTACGCTTTTTGAAATCAACCCTAAAAACTATGCCATCCTATTTTGTCTCAGATATTATCCATTGGGATAATTTCAGACCACCTTGTTTTTGTTCTAACCCCTGTTTTGCTCTATATCCCTGACATAGCCATGGTCTCTACTGAAACTGTGATTACTTGATGGTATGTCTGCCATCTTTGCCCAGCCGTTGAAATCCCCCATCCCCTTGGCGATTTACTATAATATTTCTCAGCACAACCCGTGTCCAGATTCTGAAAAATGATGATGAATGTGCCCATATTGTTTCTATATTTGTCCATTCAAACTCTTTTGCATTTCCTAAAAAATCTCAATTGATTGTTCACAATGGCACTATTTCCTTTTTTCATCTCCTCTCTCTCTCTCTCTCTCTCTCTCCTCTCTCTCTCTCTCTCTCTCTTTCTCTCTCCCCATCCATTTTAAAGGTGATGAATTTGATAAGTGAAGAGAAAAGTAGTAGTTGTGGTGGATGACATGATTGACACAGCTGGTTAGTTTGTATCTCTAATCCGTTTTATTAAGTAGAACATAAATAGTACCTTTAACAAATGATATCAGAAAATGTAACATTATTGCTCTCCCCCCTCACAAAAAAGGGAAAAAGAAGATGAGATATCAATGTTGACCTTGCTTGTGATGCTAACATGTATTGAACATTTGCACTAATAATATTGATTGAACATTTGCACTAATAATATTGACTGCAACGATGTTTTAGAAAACTGAAATAATTTATTGTGTTCTTTTCATCTTCAAACATAAATCGCAAAAAAAAGAAAAACATTGAATTGCCTTCAATAGTTTTGTTAAACTATTGCATATATGATGTGGCGTTGGATTGACTTCTCAAGTTCATCTTTAGTGAAGGAACAATTTTGACATTCATGGAACTTAGTGAAGGAACCCTTATCAAGATTATGATCTCAAACTTGGTCCATGGCCTGAAACCTAAATAGCGGGCAAGTTCTGAAAACTAGCCACTTTTTGCACCCATTGAAGACTTTTACCATTTCTTTAGAATTTAGATATCCCTCCTCCCCCTTCGAGTAGTGCTTGAAATCCTTGAACCGTGGCTAGTTTTCAAAATTTGCCAAAACAAGTGCCTATTATGTTTTGCCACCTAGGTCATTATAGTCTGGCTCAGTGAATCAGTATCCAGGATCTTAGTGAAGTTACCGGTTGCTGAAAGTCCAGCTTGGTTTGAATGAGCTGGAACATGGTCCTTGGACCATTTTGACCAGGGAACTTGAAGTCAGTCTGTAGCAAGAATTGGACAAGATTAACTTGGAACTTGAAGTCAGTCTGTAGCAAGATTATCTTGCGGCATTACTTCACATTGTCACAAAATTGAGAATCCTTGTAAAGATTTTTCCCTTGGTTTATTCACAGGAACATCTGATGGGTTATTTTCCTTCTGTTTGCAGATTTTAATTACTTTTTCTGTTATTACTTGTGAGCTCAAATTGATAATTGTCTCCACAGTTTTGTGGCAGTGAAAGATGAAGGAGAGGCACATTTTTTGAGATCAGGCACTGTTTTTGGTACTTAATGTTTACTCCAAGTTGGGTGGGGACTATGGTGATGGTTTTTGTTATACCAAGGGGAATATGGCCAGAGTAGTAAGTTTGAGTTATTTCTGCTGTGCTGATTTGTTATTTTGGGCTTTTTGACACTTGCAGTCATTTCCTCATCGTGTCTCAGTGGTTTATTACCAATCTGTTAATAGAACTGCATGTAAATATTTATCAACAATTAACAAGTCACAAGAGTGTCTTGTTGCCTTAATCATTATATATATTAAAAAAGCTTAAGAGTCCATTTGGTAACATTTATATTCTGTTTTTTTTTCTTTCTTTTAGTGTTAATTTCAGTTTAGTTCCTGTAACTTTTACCCTGTAAGGCATGTTAAGACCCATATTTTCAATTTTTACATTTAAGTAGGGGTGGTTGCGGTTCGGTAACCGCGAATTTTTGTCCAAACCGCAAACCCGGTAAACCGCAAAAAGCGGTCGGTTACTGTGAATTAGCGGTTTAAAACCGTAAGTTCTTTTTGTGTCATAAAAATCCAATCTTCCACATTTTAGGCCTAATTTTGATGCTTCTTTTGAAGCCTTTTGATTTCATGCATACTTTAATTCATAAATATAAATTCACAACCTAAATAAATAAATTCACAATCTCAACTTCTCAAGCATATATAAATTCACAACCTTCTCGACTTCTCAAGCATTTACAACCTAAAGAAAATTAAAGTTACAATTCCAAACATTCCAATTAAAGTCAAACTTCTCAAGCATTCACAATCTCAACTTCTCAAGCATTTCAATTCCAAGTTCTTTAAATTTACAAACCAAAAGGAAAATGCAATGCAAAATGAATTAAAGTTACAACCCAAAGGAAAAATCCAATTCAAAGTTAATTAAAGTTACAAACTAAAAGGAAAATGCAATGCACCAATGTTGCAAATTAAAGTTACAAACTCAAGTGTTGGTGGTAGTGAGTGGATTTGAAGGACTCCATTGTGTTGTTTGAGCATCAATGCTATCTACAAAATGCAATTTAAAAAATATATATATATAGTTGCTGTTTGTGGTAACCGCAAGTTTTGAAAATTAAATACCGTAAATGCGGTTAGGTTCTTCATACTGCAAATGCGGTTCGATTTCCCGTGATTGCGGTTCCATTGCAGTAAATTGTCGGTTGATTTTTGCGATTTTTTGGTCTAAAATGCCACCCATACATTTAAATATCCGCACCTTTTGAAATTATCACAATGTGGTTATGCTATTAAGCTGTTCATCAGAAAATCCATTAAATGATGATATGGCACATGCATAGCTCTTTCTTTTTCCTCAAGTACAATACAATATTGATAAAAAAAATTCAAATTTAATTTAAAAGTAAGATTTAAGTTATTAGAAGAACAAAACATATAAAAGCTAAAAGAAACTCTCCTCCTAGGGGTGTAAATTGGATTGGAAAATCCGATTCCCACCGATTCCAGTCCGAATATTTCCAAAAAAATCCAACTCCAATAAATCCGATATTTGAAAATGCCGAATCCAATATTTCCAATAAATGCCAAAAATTTCGAAATTCTCCAAACCTATTCCGATCCGATTTTTTCAATTTTTTTCCTGCAAAATTCTGAGTTTCTAATAATATATTGCATTATTTTTAGTGTATAGGTCTTATACATGTTTCATTTCTTATTTGTTATATTTTAGTACCCCACTTACAAATATTCATATATACTAACATAGGCTAGGCCAAAAAAAAAAACAACTAAACATAGTAGCATATAACTTTAAGACTAAATATTTTTGGCAAAATGTGCTTGTTTGAATATAACAAAAATGCATACGTGCGCTTGCTATATGCAAACGTACTACATATGTGGTAAATGTAGAGAGTATCATACTATTTCATTTTGTATTCTATGCCTCTATGTATTTTCTCTACAGACTTATTAAGGTCTAGTCCTAGTTGAATTACTTGTTAAAGTCCTACCTGGGCTACTTGTGAAACCCCTAGTTGGGCTTTAAGTTTAGATTTTTTAATCTCTAAATAGTTGGGCTTCTTAATTCGAAATTTCGAAAATTTTCGGAATCGGAAGTCTATATTGAATTCCGAAGGGTTTTCGATTGGAATTGGAATGGCTGATTTCCGATCCGATCCGGCCGAAACAGCACACACACCCACACTACAGAGAGAGGCGGGGTCATTTCTTTATCAACCATACCAAACGCCGGCGTCGTCAGCCATCAGGTACTTGTTGTGCTCCATCAATCAAATTGTCCTCTGCTGAACATTTGCCATTGGGTGCTAGTAATTTCTACATGCTTCTAGGGTTTCTGTAGTTGGTTTTATTTATGCATGTTTTACCTGTTTTTTAGATGAATAAAAGGCGGATTTTGATCCAACAGTCGGCATTTGTTTTTGGTTTAATATGGATTTTATGAATATTCATGACCTGGGTTGGTGCTGAATTTGATGGTTTCTTGAATTTTTGTTTTTTGTTTTTTTTAAAAAAATATATGAATTCAGTAGCCATGAAGGTGCGTTCCTCTGTGAAGAAGATGTGTGAGTTTTGTAAGACGGTTAAACGTCGCGGGCGTGTTTATGTGCTTTGCACAGCCAATCCCAAGCATAAGCAAAGACAGGGCATGTCAACATTTGCATACGAAGGCACGGTGTCTTCCATGTACGTTTCCTTTCATGCTTTCATTTCTCTTTTTTTATTTTATACTTTCATAAGTTTACTTTGGCAAATTCTTCTGATTGCGTTAATCTTAAAAGGAAACATCCCATTCAGAATCTACCATGTTAAGCACCCCGTAATCTAAGACAGAACAAAACATGTTAGACGAATTCACTCCAAATCTTCCCTAACACCTGGAGATCCCTTGCCTCTTGTAAATTTGTTGTACATAGTTCGTTGGGTGGTTTTACTAAGTGATTCTTGGATACTTCTTATCATAGGCACGCAGGTCAAGCACACACAAGGCACTTTTCCTACTATATGTGGACCTTCATTTGGCAGGCCTGCATAAGGTGGCCTGGAGCCTCCTTTTGTATAATAAATGTTATCTCCATAGAACAAAATGCTTTTAGTCATCAATTTGGCAGAAGAGAAACAACAATTTATGGAGTCAAGGATTTAGGTTACTGCGTCGTCTAATTCTAACTTCTGAGATGGTGGTTGCCATTTTTTTACACTGTTGTATCTAGCTTACCTGCTCCATGTGGTGTTCTTCATGCATGTGTGTCTATAATCATACTTTTTGCTGATATGAAAGTAGCTTTTCAGTTTTTCATTAGTTCTGTCTGCATATAGCATGGATTTAGTCATGTGTAAAGATTTTAAAAACTTCAGAACATATTCGCAGTAACCTAACATGTGAATCTGTATGTTCACAAACTGCTGCATATCTGTATGTAGATATCTCACATGCGAATCTTTCTCTTACACATGAACTTCCTTTAGAAATGTGATGTGGCAAGGGAGTGAAATTGGCAATTTTCTAATTGAACGTTTGAATCCTTTTCAGGTACGCCGAGACTAGTGCCAAGCTGGAGAACAGCTCTGGTCACAGCGTGCAAGCAGGTCTGGCCTCTCTGATACCCAAAAAGCATGAACCCTCGATGCCCTCTATACCCTCTACGATACTTGGATGGAGGGTGGGCCTGGCCTCCCTGCTGTTCAACAAGGCCAAATAGCTTTGAAATTTGAAATGGGTCCTTATCTCAGTTTTTAGGTTCCTTTCTTTGGTTGTGCTGCCAGATATATTCAAAATGTTATAAGCTCCTCTTTTTCTCTTGGATTTTAGCTTTTAATCTGCTACTATATATAATATTTCCATCTCTCCCTCAATTCTGGTGTGTGTTTAAACTTAGCTGTGCTAGAGATTCTGATTGTAGCGACCTTACCTGCTCCACATATATAATTCAGGAAATGAGATGGCTCGAATTGTAAAGTTCACTTTATCTGATTTCCTGGAAAAGAATTAGGTGGTATGAAAGTGAAACGTAATTTGGATGTTGCAAGAGTTTTCTTTTCATGTTCATTTTACAGATCATATGGAACCAAATTAGCGAATCCATATCAAATTATAAATTATGCGGGTAGGTCTACATCTCTCATAAGTCATACCCGAAAGGCGAACCTTTATATATCTTAATTGACCAAAAAATAGAAAAAAAACAAGAGTACCCAATCTACATAAAACCCTAATAATATTATTCAGCATCAACATTGCCATCAGAGTCGTTTTATGGTGAGGGTGCTATATATGGATTATAAATGTAGACTTTCATATTAGTTGCGGGATTCATTTAAATAGCAACTTCACTTGAATTTAATGAAATGATCGTATGGCTAATATAAAGATACACATAAAAGGTCCATTAATCACAAGGTTTGCAATTCGTGAGGTTTTGCTTCATCAGTTGTCATTTCAAACTTAATGCTTACTGGAAATTGTCTGGCACTGACATCTATAACCGGTGGGGGATCACGAAACAGCTTTCTATTATTAATAAGTGTTCAATTCGCAAGGTAGCACTCATCAGCGCAAGCTTTAACGGAAAAACTTGCTGTCCAGGACTTAATAGTTCTTCCTGAAAGCACCGCCTTTTGCTGCTCTGCATACTCTTCCTGCCATCACATGCAAACGAGAATAATAATAAAAAGGGGTTATAAACCTTGATTAATACAAGTTTTAGCAGTTATAAACACCACTCTCTAGCTTTGCCTGACGAGCACTAATTACACCAGATAGCATTCCCATAAGTAAGTCTGTGTTCAACCTCCGCTCATGAACCTCATCAAGAATTATGACAGAGTATCGCTTAAACTTACAAGATGCTTTTTGTAAAAGCCTCTGCAACTTATCACATGCTTTTTGTAAAAGCATCCGCAACTTATCAGATGCTTTTTTCAAATTTCGGAAACATATTTTGAAAAATCAGCCTAGGCGCCCGCCTAGGCGGCTAGGCGGGTCTGGGCGCGTGGCAGGTCGGGTCGGTTTATTTTTATTTTTATTATGTGAGAATTATTGACCGAGACAGGGGTTGGGCCCGACATAGTTCGCTGGCCTTGAAGCCCAATAAAGGCCCACCACCAATGTGGATACGGGTTGGGCCCAACATACTTGGTTCACGGAAACAGAGGTTTACACTCTCAGACGCACACACCCGGTCCAAACTCCGTCGTCGTCAGCCATCAGGAACTTGTTGCGCTCCATTGATGTACGAAAGTATGTATAGAATTGTCCTCTGCTGAACATTTGCTATTGCGTGCTAGTAACAAAGACTTTTACTCCTTGACCTGATAAAACCTTGGATAAGACGCAAAGCCAACTATCAACAACATACACAGAGAAAACATATGAAAAATGGCGAAACATGCATGCACCATTTTTATTGAGGTCATTGGGGGTCTGTCTGATAACTCTTACTGAACATATGAAAAATGAAAATTTGGTGGTCAATTTTGTTTTTATAGAAATATGGCAAATAAGGACAGAGGAGAAAATAGAATAGAGTCCTTTGCATTTCTCTTCTGTGTTTCTTTTTTCAGTATGTTGTTTGTGGGGGCCCATGCCTCCCTGACCTGATAAAACCTTGGAATTGGAATGGTTTATTTCCGATCCGATCCGGCCGAAAGGCAGCCCTATCTCCTCCCAACCACCCATGATAATAATTGGGTAACTTTTGAGTCAATCTGTTTATTAAACAGGTGGATTTCGAGTCAATCTGACAACCCGCTAAATACCTATTTAACTGGTTTTGAAAAAATGAAAGAAAATTAAGGATCCAGCACACACACAATGAGTTTTGAACCAACTCCACTTCCATTCATCTCCAACACCTTATCCATTATGCTACACACAACCTTGTGATTATAAGCTATACAATTTGATATTTATAATGTTTCTACAAGCTGTTTATAAAAAAACATAGAATTTCACATGTCTTTTTTCTTTCTAATTAAATTAAATTAAAAATTATACACTTAATTAAATTAAATATTAATATATATAGTAATTAAATTAAATATTAAAAATTAATATATATATTTCTAATCACAAAGACGTAGAGCTCGAAGCAGAAAACAGGGAACGAAAAATGGGGAGCGGAAAATAAGGAGCTGGAATTACAAAGCAGCCCTGCAGATTACTTTTTAAAAAAATTATTATTATTGAGTGGCCCTGCAAGTTACTTCTATAAAAGGATACAGTGGGAGAAAAAAATCAAACTCAAACTCAGAAAATCTATCTCCTTAAACTTAGAAAAATAAGAACCTATCTCCACAAACTCAGATAAAAAATGGCCTCTTCATTCCCATTTTCTCTCAATCTAAACCCAGCTCCACCAACATAGGCATGGGGTCAAAGGGTTGCACTAGTTTGGATGCCCTACTTTGCTTCCTCATGAGGACTAGTTACTGTAAACGACTCTTTACTCATTGAGAACGATGTTGCTATTGGAGTTGCGAGGAGTTTGGTGACTCCCAGGGATGTGCATGTGCTGAGAATGAGGAATGATACACGAGTGGTGAGGGATGCCATGGCATTGAGCGTGCAAAGTGTGACATTTGTCACAACTGTGGGACATCGCCTCATTGTGAAATCCCATGTGGTAGAGGTGCTAAAATCTCAGTTGGTTGTAGAGCGAAATTTGGTTGAAAATTGTCAGCGTGTGATAGGGAGTTTGAAGAAAGAGAGGGCAAATACAACGGAGGCGAATCGATATCAGCTTGAAATATTGCAGGAAGAGAATCAAAAGTTATCAAAGATGGTAGATTTTTACTCTCAAGACATGCAAAAGCAGTTGGAGGCCCTCGATCTACCAGGTAAACACAAGCATTGAGATCACAACACAAGTTATGCTCAAGCTAAGGGTGTGATCTTTGGGTGCTCAAGTGATGAGCCCCAAAAAGCTATGTGTGACCAAGAGAAGAGATCCAAATGGCCAAACTATAGAAAATGTAGGGATCTATATTGGATAAGCCCTTTTTTTTAATTTAACGTAATCTCATGTTTAAAAAAAATGAAATAACATGTTTATTAACCTGATGTAGTCTCATGTTTCCTCTTTTTAATGTTTCCCTTTTTTAAATTGGAAATTAGGAATGAGTAAATAGGTTATTAACCAGGTAACCTGTATAAGATGACCAAAACCCGACACGACACGTTTATTAAATGGGTCGGGTTTGGGTTGAGTATTCTTAACACGTTTATTATCCCAACACGACCCAACCCATTGCCATGCCTAATAATATGTAGCTATTTTATGATTATAGTACAATCACACAAAACATAGTGACATCCAACACCATAAAACAAAACAAAACAAACAAAGAAAAAAAGGGTAAAGAAAAGAGACAAGGATGGTAGCCACTTATGGAGTTTGTTGTCATCAACATCATCACATACAATAACATCGTCAAAAACTTCACACCAGTCTGTGGCTTGAGAGAGAGAGAGAGAGAGAGAGAGAGAGAGAGAGAGAGAGAGAGAGACGATTAGCATGGGATAAAGGTGAGGAGAGTCCCGGGTATCAGGTTGTGAATGGCAGGAAAACATGTGAAATAGAGCTCGTGACAATCTAAAATGTTGTGAGGTGGGTATGGTATGCTTAGTCTTCTTGGAGCACCTCTCCCTCTGTATTTAAACCATTAAAACAAAGAATCCTAGGGAGAGTGTCAGTCTTCATTCAAAGAATTCACTTCCTTCCATCACTTTATAGGTCAAAGCATTTTAGCTTAGCCAGAATTCCAGTCACCACCACAACATTAAAAGCACCCAACTTTCTCTTTTAGACAACATTAAAACTATCTTGTCAACTTTCTTTTTTCCTCAAGGTAAACAGCTGCTAGGACAATAATCCACTTCCAATTTTTTTTTCTCAGCTGCTAGGGCAGCATGTGGAAGAGCATAGTATTTACATGGTTCTTGTTTATTATTATTTTTAGACCAAATGGAAATTTCGTGTAAAATCTAGTTACCAAAAATGTATTTAATTCAGCCACTTAACGGAAACTAACTGCACATCTATAAATTGGAAGCTTTGGTTAATATAGTGGCCAATTTGGCTAAATTTTTTTTCTCAACACCTAAATTGAAATTTCATGTAAAATTCAGTTTTAAAAAAAATACAAACGAAGTCTAAACTACAATTTCTCACACACACAACCAAGTTGCCACGAGGTTCGAACTTGAAACCACTGTTTGCAAGTCAATGCCCTTTTTCACTGAGCTAGACCTCATTGGCAAGGTTTTAAACCTTTTAATTTTTACCGAAAACATTATATTCGTCTCTCCATTTGGTCATAGGTAGAAAACTACATAGTTTCTACTACGGTTAATCCTTTTTAAAATTTTTAATTTTTTATGATGGCCTAACAAATGCACGATTCGGATAATAGGACCACAAAAATGTCTCTCGCTAAATGATGGCATAACCAATGTTCTCTTGCTAGATACTTGTACATTTATACAAAGGAAAAGGTGGATAAAAAAAATCCAATGAGCCAATCAATATTAACATTTCAGCCATCTTCCTTTTATACATGCATGCATATATACCCCCATCACACATGCCCATGATGCCATTTATTATTGTGGAATTGTCAAAACAGAAAAAAAAAACAACAAGGGGGGAGGGAGGTGGGGGGGGGGGAGAGAAAAAAAAAAAAAAAAAAAAAAAAAAAAAAATTCACACTCACCAATCGCTATAAGGTATATAGAGTAGAGAGCAACAACGGTCACATGCATTAGCTTGAAAACTTTGCCAAAACGTGACAACATTTAAACCAAACTGCACTCTCATTCACTACATATCCCGCGCCTTTCCACCAATCTAATACACACTCCCAAGCTTCAACTCCACACTGTCACTCTCTCACTCTCACTCTCAACCGAGCTTTTGTAACCCTCCAAGAAAAAAGGGCCATGGAAAACTGCAGAAAATCTCCATTGAAGCCATGGAAGAAAGGCCCAACAAGAGGCAAAGGTGGCCCTCAGAACGCCTCATGTGAATACCGTGGTGTTCGGCAAAGAACTTGGGGCAAATGGGTTGCTGAAATCAGAGAACCAAAGAAGAGAACCAGGCTCTGGTTGGGCTCTTTTGCCACGGCAGAAGAAGCTGCCATGGCTTATGATGATGCTGCCAGGAGACTCTATGGTCCAGATGCTTTTCTCAATCTTCCTCACCTCCAAGCCAATTCCAATCCTGCACTCAAATCTCAAAAGTTCAAATGGTTCCCTTCCCAAAATTTCATTTCCATGTTTCCTTCTTGTGGTTTGCTCAATATTAATGCCCAACCAAGTGTTCATGTCATTCATCAGAGGCTCCAAGAACTCAAGCAAAATGGGGTTCTTGGTCAAACTACTCCTTCCTCTAGTTCTTCTTCCTGTGATTCTAAACCTGAGGTTCACATCATAAGCGACAAAACACAGATAGGAAATGTTGCAGAGAAGGAGAAAGATGTAGAAATTTCATCAGAAAAAATGATTGAAGACAACCGGGAGAAGCCGCAGATTGATCTCAATGAGTTTCTTCAGCAACTGGGTGTACTGAAAAAGGAGAGACAATCAGAGGCAATTGGCACCACAGGAAATTTTGGAGTTCCAGAATCTTCAGTTACAGAACTTAATGATGAATTTGGACCCTTTGCTGACAAGAATTTCAATTGGGATGCATTGATTGAGATGCATGGGATTTCAGACCAAGGAGCAGATGCTGGTAGCTTTCAAGTTTATGATGTGAATGAAGAGCTGCCCTTCCCCACTTCTATTTGGGACTTCTAAGAGAAGCTTGTTTAACTAGACATGGAAGAGTAGGGCTTGCTTTTACCAGAGAAGGAATTTGTTAGAAATCGGCACTTAGTAGTCGTTTAAAAATAGGCTATAGTGGGTAATAGCACGTTATGTTACATTCTCAATTTGGCACCACCATATATTCAAACAAGAGTTCACCTCATGGTCCAGATGGACTGTACTACGGCATAATATACCAGACTATCTAGTAGGAACATGTCCCAAATGCTACTGTTGCTTCCATAACTCTTAAGTCACATTTCTGATCACAAATGAGCTGGTTGAAATCAGTTTTACTCTACCATGTGAATGGGAGGTGTGATTCCCTTTAGTATGAAAGTATTGTTTTGCTTGTTCATGTTTGCTTGGTTCTGACTTGAATTAAGTAAGTTAGAGGGAAACATCTTACAGGTCCAGATGGTCAGTTGTATTCTAGATGTGAGCCCTCAATATTAACCATAACATAAGATAATTAGAGAAGAAGAAAAAAGTACAATAAACAAATTTCCATTAGGCAAATCTTCAACAACAATAAAATTGTTTTCAAATTTTCTATAGGTATAAATTGTCCTGTGTCGCAAAAGCAGAGCCATGCTATTGTATCACCACAATGCAGCCAATTTGCATATGATTGCAGGGCAGAGCAACAAATTATGCCCAGGTATTTTTGCTCATTCATTGCCATACTCTGAGGCACTTAGATACTCACCATGCTCCTCAAAATACTCTATTAATCGCTTCAAGAATGCATTACTACTCACCGTCTCAGTGTCACAGACAAGACAGCATTGCCTTCTTGCCCGTGTTACAGCCACATTCATTCGCCTGTTGTCACTCAGAAACCCCACCTGAATATTTCAAAGTTCTGAAATTAAATTCCTTATATTCTAGAATATGGTGCTAACTGAGATGTTGACTATCTAACTCTGAAAATATGCATTAGTAATAGTACCAGAGCACAAGTGTACCTCTTTTTTTGAGTTAGACCGAACCATTGAAATAATGATGGCTTCCTTTTCCCGGCCCTGGAAACCATCAACTGTTGAGATTTCCAAATCCTTTAGCTTGTCTTCATTGCTTCTCAACATTCTCAGTAAGACAACCTGCAATACAGATCAGATATAAGAAGAAAAGAAGAAGAAGACATCTATGCTACTAAAGAAGCTGCATGGAAGTGAACACTTGGATTTTGATTTATCTAGAAGCTATTGTAATCCTTCACTGTATATAGAGAAATGAAGCTCATAACAAGAAGCTAATGCTTACAGCAAGGAAAAGGGCATGTTAATACCTGTGCAGCATAAGGGGTGATAATTCCAATATCAGAAGCCTGAACACCGCTTTGAACAAGTCTCTTAGCATGGGCAATAGCCACATCAGCTTCACCTTCATTCAAAGTGCTTTCTTCTTCATCCTTCTTTTCTTCCATGTCACACCTGACAGATCAGCATGAACTAGTGGCAACAGTTATACATGAAGGCATTTCTTTTATTACAAATTAAATTAGGAATCCCTTTTGAGAAGATGATGCGGCATATGATCTACTTGTTTTTGTTTCTCACAACATTCAAAATGACTCTTTTTCATGGGACCTCATCTGGCGTTAGCCGCACTACTATGGATGGAATTTTGGAAACTACAAAATAAAATCAAGCGGGATTGGCATGAAATTTAAATAATTGATTGTGTTTGTGCCCTATGGTGTTTGTGTCAAGCATTTTAACATGAAATTGACATGAATTAACCAAATAAATGATAAAATAATTCTCCCAACGTAAAGTAAACATATTACTCGTTGAGTTGTGTCATAGGTTATAGGATATCTTGTCATGTCATGTTTGTTTGTGCAGTATCATTTGAATTTTTTTTTAACCCATCAAAGCACAAATTGACATGCCTAGGTGTTACTTGACAGTTTTCTAAAATCAGCTTTTTGGTATTCCGCATCATTAAGATTTCACTGAAGTGGACAATAATATCCAAATCCAAATCTCAGAGGATATTGCGGTAATTTACTTTATATGGTTCCAAACATCCTCCATGAGTGATCCACAGTATTCCGAAAAAACAAAAACAGAACTTTGAGTATATGGCAACAATACACCGCATACCCAGCTGTATCTATTAGAAGAAGGGTTGGTTCTGTTGAAGAGGTCCTCTTTACATCCTCAAGATCCAAAAGCATATGTCCAGCAACACTTGAATGGGCTTTAATCTGTAATGATATTAAACCATATAATCATATCACACAATCAAAGCGAATCATTTTTTTATTCTTTAAAAAATGATATAAATTCTAACACTCAGTTATTGGAAGTTCTAACACATGCTCTCAGCACCTTACTGTTGTACAGTTCCTTTGATGACCAATCCATGATGCGTTCATGCATGCGGTACTGGACAGTGAGCATAGACACGACTTCATTTCCATATATGTCTGCAAGACGTTCAAAGAGGGTCCTTCCTAAACCTTTCCTCTCAGCTTCAGCACTCTGGATGGTTGGAGGAAGCTGAAGATGGTCGCCTGCAAGTATACATCTTGAACCCTACAACAATGAAATGTTATGTGTTTGATGATCACTCACACAAATCAACATGCATTACTATGTGCATACATACAACATGAACAGGTACTTTATGGAAATGCATATGCAAGTTTTGGTGTTCATGCTCATGTATATGCCTTTGTATTGACCGTTACCTTTAGCAGAGCCATCCAGCATGCTATTTCAAGTGCCTGAGCAGCTTCATCAATAATCACCAAATCAAATGAAGTATTGTCCAGCTTGCGAGAAGATGCCCCAGTCAAAGTTGTCAACACCACATCTGCATTTTTTATTACGTCTGTCACAGCTAGCTGCTGCCTTTTACGCTCTTCCTTTGATAGAGTCCTAAGCTCCTTCTGGATTTCCCTCCTTGTGTTCTTATCTTTGGTTCTTAACAGCTTCCCATTTAATGCCTGGAAAAATGCAATGTGCAAGCTCCTAAGGTTAAGCCATGTAATGGTCAGTGAGACTTCAGTCTTTAGCACATTAACCTCTATAATTAAGTCCTATTAAATAAATCCAAGTGTTGAGAGAGGGTGGGGAAATGATTAGGATTATGATAGGTCAAGGGTTCAATCCCTTCCAATGTAACCAAAAGAAAATTCCTACTAAATAAATAAATGCTAACATGTTAGTGTGGTAAAGCATCCTTGTCAACAAAAATTCAATTGTAACTTTTATTTGAAACTCATACATGCAAGATTTTACAAGTTCAGGCTTCAATTTTACTCTACATAACTACCTTCATTTCCTTCCGAATGTCATTTGCCAAAGCACTATTATCCCCTCGCAAGACCTGACAGCATAGAACAATGTATGGTAAGAAAAATAGTTAAACAAAAACAGGCAAGTTATAATATGATAGAAGGAGATTCTAAAGGGAATGTCCTCATTTTGAGAAAAGAAAGGACTACTTTGATGGCGTCCACCACTCAATGTGATCCAATAATCTGAACAGCTCAGTTTTAGAGTCCCCAAGGTGTATCCATGTAAAAAATCATCCAAATCGAAAATCACTGAGCTATTTGCTTATTATCATTACAAATGTTTAAACGTCGTCGAAACACTAAGTTTGTCTATCTATTTGATGACAATTAGATGACTAATGGTTTCTTAGTTAGTTGATTTTTACAAGGATGATCCTTTATTAGTACTTCAAAAAGAACGGTTTGGATAATTTGACCACATTTCTGGGTGATCACCCATGTGATCACTTTTTTTATCAAAAAGAAGAATCCTATTTAGATTTTTTTCCCAATATGACATACACCATAATACATAAAAGGCAATGCATGTACTTTGAAGCTAAAATTCCAGAGAATGACAAAAGTGCACATCCATGCTAACACCATCAGCAATAATAGAAGACAGAAAAGAATGGGATCTGAAATAAGAATGACAGTTGAGGTGTATTTACTAATCCAATTAGACACACAAAGATAACTAAATCCCTGATAACTTGTCAGGCATCAGTTCAAGCACACATATATATTCTTTAGAAGAATTATATACATATCTGTACGTGTGTCTACATATATGTCTGTTCACACACATGTATACATAATACATATTACGTATTCATAAAGGATGCAAAGGCAGACTGTCAATCTTCATATACATAGGAGAAAGAAAACCAATGTTGCAGAATGCAGAGATATAGACCAAAAATCATGCTAATCCAATGAAATAATAATTTTTAAATAAGAAGTAAAATCTGCTATCAGAAAAACAAGAATTTAATTCTTTCTCTTCTTACAAAGTTGAAGAATTCACATACCTGTGCATCCAATGCGCTGTCCAGTACTTGAGGTAGTAAACGTGCAGGATGCCCCAATCTCACTAACTTTACTCTAATAAACGACACAGTAATAAGTAATGAGTGGCGTTCCTTAACAACAGCATGACAACAGAAATAATGAAAAAAAGGAGTAAACAAATAAAAGAAGAAATGAGGGACCCACGAAAGGATTACAAAAAACTTATATTTAGGATCCCAATATTCCTTTGCTAGAGTTAACATTAAAATTTCAATTAAAAGATGAAGTTCTCAAAAACAAAAGCAGTGCAATACCTGTGGCGTGCAAGTCGCTCAACAATGTTGTCAACAGCAATATTTGAAGCAGCACATGCAAGAATCTTTGATCCACGTTTAACTTCTTGCAAGATAATTTCCACCACAGTCGTAGTTTTGCCTGTTCCAGGAGGCCCGTGCAGCAAAAATACATTTTTTGATGATAGGGCCTTTGAAATGGCATCTTTCTATAGAGCCAAAAAAAAAAACGGGAAAAGAGAAGGAACAAAAAATAAATAAAATAAGAAAACATATGCAGTAGGTACTTTAGTTACTAAGAAATGAAACATGGATTAAACTTGGAAATACTATATGCATAAAAAGTGAACTTGGACTTGGATTTTCACCAAAATAATGGGCACACAGAAATAGAAAACAAAAACAATAGGCATGGTACTATATCAATCAACTAATAATCAGAAGTAACCTCAAGGATGACACAACTTATCAGTTAAAATTTGCTTAGTCTCACCGACCATATCTAAGGTGCAATTATTTAAACAAATAACATCAGAGCTTTATCCTTAGTATTTGAAAACATTAATTGATAATATTACAAGTGAAACTGATATAAAAAAGAGGAGGCTGTGGTCCTCAAGACCTCAGATGAAGCAGATTATATGTGATAATAATGAATTTGTCTTGTTGATTAATTATCTACATTTCAATTTGTTTGGCTTTTTCTTTAGTTTCACTAATAAAATGATTAATTTCAGAGAACCTGCAGGTGATGATTGTTCTTATTCAAAGGTGGCATTATGTCCACACACATAGTCACAGATTGACAAATACATGCATGTACATATTGTGTTTGTGTCTGTTGAATGTGTGCTTGTGTGTTTTCATTCTTTCAAGCCGCTGAATTGGAGAAATTTCATCAATATAATGTGTCTACGTTAACTCAAGATTACACATGGCGAGTGACACCATTCACAATTCAGAAGAGAATTAAAGGGGAAAACAGTTAGGCTTAAGGACCTGAGAGTGATCAAGGTTTTTGTTAAATGGGGTGAATGTGACATCCTTCTTGGACACTGTTGGTGTCCTCTCTCCAAATAAGACAGGAATTAAATCAGATGCAGGACCCTTCTGCACACCTTTGCTCAATTGTATCAAGGCATCCTTCATCCTACGATATGTAACCTGAAAAAATGCAGTTAATATTTGCAACAATTTTTTCCAATGAATATTAATCTAGGAGGGCATAGGAAATAGATGATTGAGTAATCCCTGCATACATGATCAACTATTAAGACTTCTTAACCAGACTAACTGTAACCTTCAAAAATATGTGATGATTAAAAAAATTTGAAGAAAAAATGACATTCAAAGATTTGAGTTTGAATTTCATACCTCATTTGCCAGTTTCTCTAGGCGTAGAGGACTATTTAGACCATCTTCAGGAACATCATCAAAAGCAACAGTAATTGATGAGTCCTGTTCAAGAAACACCAGCAAACCACCAGCACAAGTAAGCTCAAGAGTATGATCCTCAACAATTAAAATTATCATGACAAAAAATGTAAGCCTCCCAACATAGAATTACCTTTAACCGGTAAACTACACCTTGTCCAAGAGCAGGGGACCCCAAGTCAGCCTTATTTGGTTTTAGAACAACCACATCATGGGAGCTAAACTGAAAATTAAAAGAAGAGAAGAAAAAATATTAGGACAAACTTAAGATAGTATGGTATAGTTTGGAGCTGGGACCCCTTCAAATGCTTGTTAAAAGTTAAAACAACCATATTAACCTTGAAGTGATTCAAACTGTAGTCCACAGTAAGAAGAACAAACATTGCAAAAATTCAAACTGAGCAAGTAGCCAGAGGGAATTATGGATTCTTTACCTTATGAGGAGGAAGAACGTCTGCTTTGGTAGATTGAAACTCAAGAAGAGTCTTCCCCATAAGTCCTGTCTATTCTCAAAACCAAAGGCAGAAAAAGTTATAAGTACATTACTATTATCCTATGCTCCACCCAAGAACAAATTGTTTGTTTTGACAAAATGCATTCATTTGTGAAAACATTATTCATTGGAACATTTCCATCATTTTAGGAAAATGCTTTCTAGAGATTTCATATTTATGTTTTAATGAATGCTTCAATACATTTCTCGTAGAAAAGTAAAGCCCTGTTTGTTTCGACAGAAGAAAGTTCCAGAAACTTTCTGACAGTTAAAGAAAAATCTTTTCCAACCCTCGTGTTGTGTTGAAGCCAAAAGCAAAAGACAATCAAGAAAAACATGCTCTAGAAATTATTTTCCTACAAACTTTTTCTATCGAAACAAACTGAGGGTAAGCTTTTCTTTCTCTCTCTTTTCGGGTTGTGTCAAATTGTCCTAGAAGTGGAATGGGGATTGAAAGCAGTAACTGGGAAGCCATAGGAAAGTGGAAATCATATGAAATACGAGTACCTGAGCATCAACACACTTCAAATTGAGAATAGTAGAGCCCTTCTTTTGTGCAGTATCTAAGTTTCTGGACGACCCAGTAGTGATGGAGGCAGATATCTCAGCTTCCTGATTGCCAAAATACGATAGTTCTATAAAACTTCATTTCTCTCCGGCATTTTTACAGTCAAATTGAGTGCAAAGATACAAAGCAGGAAAAGAGCATCATAGGGAGAGAGAACCTTTTCCAAGTCAATAAGAGGGGCCGTGATAGAGATGAACTGTTGGAGGGTGATACTCTTCCCTCCCTCCATTGCTACTCTTGCTCTTGTTCTTGTTCACTGCTATTGCTGCTGTTTTTGCTGCTGGTCTGCTTCTGTGATTTGATAATTAGAGAGGCTGATACAGGGATGTTGAGTGGTGGTGTGAGTGCCTCTAACGCTGCGTTTTGACTTTTGGTACAAGTTATTTTTCCCTTTTTCTGTTTTCCAAATTTGATCACTTTATCAATTTTTTTTTTCCTCTAATGTAATGTAGTTATGGCTGTTAGCTGATTTTATTGACGATATTCCTATTAAATAAATTTGTTGACAAAAATATAACTTCCTTCTTGTTCTCACAATATAAAAATATACACACCAAATGTGTGTCAAATACGAGTTTCTTATTTGTCTAACTTTTTACAAAAATATCTTTGAAGGAATAAGTAAAAACTAAACGTTTTGGATCACTGAAATATAATGTAAGGCGGGCTCTACAAAGGTGCTCTTTAAATAAGATACTTGAGGAATTCCTCAACTAAAGCTCTCTAGTTGGCAAAGAGTTTGTAAAATCACCATCTTTCATTTTTGTTACAACAAGTAAGAAATAATCTTATCATCTCACATTCTTTCAGCTAGTAAAATATGAAACTGGAAAAATATGAATCAAATACGTACGTGTTTAATTCAGTAATATTTTGGCAAATTACAACTGATAAGTTCGGCCACTATATAATATTTTAATATAATTTATTCAATTTTTTAATATATATTATTTTTATTCAATAATATGCGAAAATTATGTATATAATACCTAAATTTTGTGTGTATAATTAAAAATTTTGTTAAAAAAAAAGTGTATTAAACATGATAAATACGTACATATGCTTACAATATGAGTATTAAACATGAAAATGTTAAATTCTTTACGCGGGTAATAGCTCTGGAAAAGTAAAAACTCAAAAGAAGACAATAGATAATCAGATAATAGCCTAACAGTAATGGATAATGTCCTAAACTACACTTATCGATAAATAAAAATTGGGTAAAAATAATTTTTTTTTAAAAGAAGACCCGTCTGGCGCCTAGCACCCATTTCTCCACATGTCAAAAATAGTATAGCCAGGCGGTTATATTATTATTTTTAATAATAAAAAATGTAGTATAGCCGCTCGGCTGTTTTTTTTTTTACCAAAAAAAAAAAAAAAAAAAAAAAAACCTACCTGGCGTCATGCGACCATACTGTTTTTGACACATGACGAAGCAGGCGCTAGGCGCTAGGCATGCCTTTTTTTTTCTTTTTTCTTTTTCTCAAAGTAGTGTAGCCGCGCGCTTATACTATGATTTTTATTATTAAAAATAGTATAGTTGCACGACTATACTATTTTTGACACATGGCAAAGCGGGCGCTAACACCAGCTAGGGGTGGGCATCGAAACCGAAGAACCAATCAACTAAACCAAACCGAACCAAAAAAAACTGAAGAAAAAAAAATCATGTTGACCAAGAAGTCAAACCCAATTCAAAAAATCGAAACGAATTGGTTTTAACCGGTGCCCGTTCCGGTTCTATACCCCAACAAACTGAACCAGGCCAAACCAAACTGGCCAAATTAAAAAATATATAATTTTAATATTTATTTATATCCAATGCTATATTTTTAATCTCATAACTAATTTACCCAAGTTCAATTTCAAAACATCTCTCTTTTCTAGCCTTAATATTTCTTTTTGTATGAAATTGAATAATTTGTTAATTTTCAAGCCAAAAAAATAATATTTTAGTTGAAATTTGTATAAAAAAATCATTTGAAAAAATAATAATCCGATTCAAAATCGAACCAAATTGGAACAGGATTGAAACTAGTTTAACTCAGACTAGACAGCTTTATAAATTTTTTTGTTAAAACCGACCGAATTGAACCAATAAATAGTACCGAATTCGGTTTCAATTTGAGGCAAAAATAGGTCCAAACCGAACCGTACCCACCCCTAGCACCAAGCGTGTGTCCTGTTTTTATGTATTATAAATAGTATAGCCATGCGGCGATACTCGGGGCTTTTTTTAAATAAAAATCGTATTGTCTTGTGGGTATACTATTTTTTTTTATTATAAAAAAAATAGTATAGCCGCATGCGGCAAAATGGGCGCTAGGCGCCATGTGGGTAGTTTAGAACATTTCCCCAATTTTTGTTTATCGATAAGGGTCGTTTATGACATTATTCATTACTATTAGGTCATTATCTGAGTCTCTATTGTTCCCTTTTGAGTTTTTACTTTTCTAGAGCTAATACTCGTATAAAGAATTTAGCATTTTCACATTTAATACTCGTATTGGACACGTATTTTTCATGTTTAATACACTTATTTTTTACAAAATTTTCAATTATACACACACAATTAAGGTATTATACACATAATTTTCGCACATTATTGAATAAAAACAATATATATTAAAAAATTGAATAAATAATATTAAAATATTATATAGTGGTCGAACTTATTAGTTGTAATTTGCCAAAATATTACCGAATAAAACACATATGTATTTTATTCATATTTTTCCCGTTCCTATTTTACTAACTGAAAGAATGTGAGAGGCTAAGATTATTTCTTGCTTGTTGTAACAAAAATGAAAGATGGTGATTTTGCAAACTCTTTGCCAACCAGAACCATAATTTCAAACAAAGATTTATGGGTATAGTTATAAGCGAGGTGATAGTATTTTTCATGTAAAGTGTTGTTTGAAATGTGAAGCAATTTCCAAGAACTCAAACTCAGCATGCAATTCTCTACAACAAATAATGTGTGCAGTAACATAATTTAGTAGTACTAGAGAGAGGACGGAGGTAGACCATAGCCAAAAAAAAAAAAAAAAAAAAAAAAAAAAAAAAAAAAAAAAAATTTTGAATTCTCAAATTGATTTACTGTGAAATTTTTCTCTTCAATAGCTGCTTTAGAGATGTCGAAACTAGCAAATTAATATCTATAGAGTATAAACAAATGCAACTAGAAGGGTCATTTTCTTTTATTTTATTTTTTTAATAAATAGTATAGCCGGTGGCTATACTCCTATTAAATATAATCTCTATATATAAAGCAAAAGGCAGAGAATGACAAAACATTTAAAATACCAGAAAATGTCATTTGTTAATGCAAACATTAAGAATTAAAATTATTAATTAAATGATGATAATATGGTAAATTCACACCTTTTTATAATAATAAAAATTAAAATTAAAAGAAAAATTAGATAATGGATCATATTTTTATGAAACAAAACTACCCATTATCTTTTTTAATTCTAAAATATTTAAAATATAAATATTTAAATAAAAAAAAGCCCTCTCCACATACTAAAGTAAATTTAAATTTTTTTAAACAAGTATACTTAAGCGTATAACCGTGCGGCTATACTAGGTTTATTATTATTATTAAAAGAATAATGCTACTCTTACCACATTCTTATATCATCTTATGTGGCAGCGAAGGTAGACATCCACATCAATTAAAATTATTTAATATTTTCTTTTCTTTTATGATTTATTTCAGTATTTGTTTTTCTAATTGTCTTAATTAAAATACACTTCATTGATTTAATTGATGTGACATATAATATAGACATGTCACATCATGTAGTATAGAAATGTGGGATAAAAATGTGGTAAGTGTAGCATTACTCTTATTAAAAATAGTATAGCCGCACAGCTATACTTGTTTGACACGTGGCGAAGCAGGCACCAAGCGCCAAGGGAATCTTTTTTATTGTTTATATAATAAAAATAGTATAGCCGGTCGGCTAGACTTGGATTTTTTATAATAAAAATAGTATAGCCCCCCGGCTATACTATGTTTTTTATTATTAAAAAAAGAATACACGTGGCGAAGCGGTTTTAATTATAAATATTATAGCCGCACGGCTATACACGGGGGGTTTTTAAAAAAAAATAAAGAGTATAGCCCTATACTGTGATAAAATTAATCTTGAGAATGTTTGCTCACGGCTAAAGGATTTAGGATGCTTGAACAAGAATTTGTACAAATATTTCTACAACTTCACATCTCCTCACATCTAAGCGCCTTAAGTAAGATGATGTGGATTCTTCTATCTTTAAAATGACATAGAGCACCATTAAGTTTAAATAAGAACAACTTTTTCCTACTGAAAAACAAGTTTTAACAAAGTTTCCACTGGACCAAATAGCATTTGATAGAGTAGTATTTCTTTTCCTTGTATTGGAAGGATGTCCCAAAATTCAAATTCCCTCCTCTTTCATTGGTTAAAAAGAAAAATCTAGTACTTTTCTTATCAATGTTGGAAGAAGTCACAAATTCGAATTCTCAATGTTGGGAGAAGTCACAAGTATGAATTCTCTTTTTCCCCGATCCCTCTAGTTTCATGGTAGTGTCGCCCTCTCAGACCCTCAATTGAGGCAAGGGTCTTAAGAAGGCTTTCCGTCCCCATGAAGCTAATTCAATTCAGCAATGGCGAAAGTATTCTTAACTCCTTTGTTATTCTCAAAGTATACAACATGTAAAATTTTTGCCCTGCCAATCAATTGTGCACAAGTTTAATTGGACCTTAAATTTTAAGGTGAGAAACATGACCAACAGAATGATAGAGAGCTCTATCGTCACATAATATGGACCAATGGACAATGTACATTACAATCTTGATATTTGATTTGTTTGTTTATATGAGCAATCAACATGAATTTCCACATCGACAAAAACATAGGGTTGAGCCTAAATTTGAACCTTCGAAACTAAAATATGAATCCGTCACTCCCGAAAAAATACACAGTAAATAACTAGGCAAACTATAACAGCCAACTGGCGACAACGGCATACCATCTTCTACAACAATCTATCTTCCTCCCTATGTATATAAATCTGTCTTCCCAAAAGAATATATGAGGCCTATTCAGCTGGAGGTGAGATGTCCTTCAACCACAATCAGAACTTGTTTCAAGCAGGCACATCCAGCAAACAAAACCCCAGATTCTTCCCACAAAACCAGCCACAACATTGATACAAAAGATATGTCACAAGTTTTATACTACAAGACGGAAAACAGGGGAAAAAGAAATCTCCATCCTTAATCCCTGCCAATGGATGAATGTCTCTGGGCACCAGGTGGTGCAGTTGGCCTTGGGAAGTGATAATCAAACTGCGCACCTGCAATTTGGGGGGCTTCCACATAGGGGCTCTGTGGCACCTAATATTTTTTCAAAAAAGTTACTTAAAAAGAAAAAAAAATGCATTCAACAAAACAAATGTGTGAGGGTTTCTACTTCCTGCCCAGACTCCTCAACTCCCTCCGTTGCCAACAAGAATAGAGAAGACTGCAAAGAAATGTTTTGCTCTTTGTTTTTGTCGTGGTTTCACCTGTTTACAGTGATTTTCCTTTGTATGGCCAGGTTGGAAAGCTACTTGGGAGGTTTGGTTTGGCTTCTTGCTGGCCGTGTTTTGGAATTGTCTTTGTTTTCGAAGTAGTCTGGATTGTTAATTTGTTGTGGTAGTAATAGAATTTTGTTTTGTAAAAATAAAAATAAAAAACAAAAATTTTATAATTAATAAATCCATTAGCTTAACCAAGGTATTTAAAGGTCATTTCACTTTTGTTATCATCAAAGAGCTGAATTTGCCAGAATTTAGAGTAGCTTTTACTTTTTGGGAGCACTGACACTGGTTATAATCATGACGTTAGTCAAATAGTTTTTTTTGTCCCTATTTGCCCATCTGTTCAATGGCATCAAATGAGTCAATACTCTTCTAATTGTTTTCTTTTTACCGGGCAAGTAACACCTTGTTAGGAATCTATTTATATTAAAAAGAGTAAGTCATAATGCCATTTAATACAAACGAAGGCAAATGGGTAACCTCTATCTTTAAAAAATGCTTATAGACCAGTCATGTCCCCAAAACTAGAAAACACCAAATGTTAAAAATTTATGCATTCTGCGCGGTAGTGGAATGCCGTTTTATGAAATCCTAGAAAGGATCTATACATTCAGTCCACCAAAAAAATAAGGGAACTACACATAAAAAGAGTTTATTAAAAGAAAAGATACCTGTGATGCAAATACAGCATAAGATGGCTCTTCAGGATTTGAGGCCTTTGGTGTTGTTATAGGAGAACAAGCATCATAGCGCGATTCACTTCCATTCAGAATATGAACTCCACTATTTTGTGCACTTTCACCCTCATTCCCACCGGTTGACTTAGTTCTCTATATAAATGCCATAGCTTCCAAATGTATTAGGCAATCTATGGAGAATCTTTATTAATATAGCTACATAAAATCATGAAAATAGTTTGGTTAAGAACACAATACCTGGAAGATTTTTCCAAGAGTTTTCAAGCCCTTTGCTCGTGCACGGAGTTCCTCTTTCTTGGCATTGTTGTCTTGAAGAACCTAAGATCAAATGAAAACTTACAATCTAAACAAGATTTCCATTCATGTTTCAGACAACTACCAAATAAAATGGTGGGGCAGAAAAACAACCATCTGACAAACACGAGAAAGAGTGGCCTCAATATCAGCCACATTAAGCTTCCACAGGGAATCAATCATCAACTTCTTGTTAGACGACATGTATTCTTCAAGCTCTTCCTCAGTGTAATTTCCTTCTGCACTTAGCTGCTTTTTCATGTCTTCCTGCAGCTGGATCAAAGCAATTGCACCTGAAATAAATAATAGTTCGTAAACCAATACGCACATTAGCTTAGTCAGCAAACTTGTGTGCATTTGTGAGAATTTATACCTTACATATGCCAAAAACAGAGAGAGAAAAAACACAAATATTCCTTATCCTGTCAATATCTGAACACATAAGGATGAACTGGATTGGACCCTACACTGTGGGTCGGATCAGCCCCCATACCTCTGGTTAGGCCCATACCATAGGTCAATTAATCATTGGGGCCAACAATTACAGTCACCATGAGAACATAGGCTTAGGACATGACTGGCGATATTGAATCCAGAAAGATCTACTAACCTGTTGCTGCTGTTACTTGGGATTTAATGAAATGCCCTTTATTTCTAAACCACTCTGCAATAAATGGGACTCCCAAATATAATGCTTTCTTCCCTAGCTCTTTTGCTGATTGTCTGGCATATATGTAGCCAATTGTATTCAACATATCAACACCGTAAGCTGTAGAAAACAGACCATATCACTGAAAATTATATACAAAAGCTTAGGAAATAATCATAGAAACAGCTCCATCAGATATTAATCACATTAAGCATATCGTAAAATCAGTTCCTACACCTTGAGCAATGAAATACTGCTCAGCAATTTTTTAACCTTTAAACTGTTGGGCATAGTTTGGATGATAGTCCCCATTAAACGTGTCACAGCATAATATTCTATTGAAATTGGATGCAGTTATTTGACTTTACAGGAATACCATCCATGATGAAATCATAAAATGAGTAACTAAATTACAAGCCAACAAAATTTACAATTATAATTTTATTGACTTGTTTTAAGTTAACTACTGGCTCAGTATAAGTCTGAACTAAATATTAAATTGTTTAGAGAAAGAGCAAATCAATGCAGGCCCTACATGGCAAATCATCATTACAAGTGTTTTCAGGATCTCATCTTGTACGGTCCCAAACAATATTACAAGTACCTAGCTTATTCTTCAGTTATTCTTTAATCCAAGCGAATCGATATTAGCCAAATCTAATCAAGTTTTAAACAAGGGCAGACCTAAAAGCAGTTGAAAAAGGTAACAATTTTTCTGTTCTCTCACCCAAAAGTACCACATGCAGGGATCAATTACCTGCATTGGAAAGCCTCGCAACTTCAGCTTCAGCATGACTAACAAAGTCCTCTTTGTTTCCTTGCACGTATTGGTTGAGTCGATTTTTCAGTGTTTCTGCAAGTTTTTCCTCTCTTTCCCTTTGAACAACCTGTAATAGATGGATATTTTCACACAGAAACCAATATGATATATAACCATTCTTGAAAGACAAAGACTTGGCAGAACTACAAAAAAGAAGGTCCTTTTTTGGTGAACGTGGGACTGAAAAGCCCAAGCAAATATTCATTTCAGAAAACAAACGAAATGACTAACTTTGTAGTACCAATATATTAAATGCATTGCTCCCAAATTTAATTCCTAACCAAGTTGGTCTCATTGCATCACAGAAAATTATAGGTAACTGGGTTAGTGAGGATAAATAAACAAAACAGTACCCGCATTTTCTCTTGCAGCTTTTTGGGATCAAACTGCTCCCCTTCTGAGAAAATATCTAGTGAAGCCATTGATGCCATGGCTAGCTGGCCAATATATTCCTCAAAAAGCTCACTACCAAAAAGCATAGCGAAGATTGCTGCAGGATCAATAATTGAGTCGCTGAAAGAAAGAGAACCATTCAAAAAATGTCAGAAACACGCGACTATGTGTTAAGCTAACACACACATACACTGACAAATGCAGGCAACCTATGAGGTGCGTGTCAGACACCTTTCAATCTTAGAATTCAGAAATACACAGATTAAGAGCAAGAAACTAACGTTGAGATCCCCGATTTTCCAAAAGCATCGTAAGCTTGGCGTTGGCCTGGGTCACTTAAGACTTGGTAAGCTTCTCCCAAAACCTGAATCCAATTAATCAACACAGTTGGTAAGCCTCTACCAGAACAATAAAAGAAACTATCTTTGCGAACAAGTGTTAGCGAACCCAGTTAATCAAGTAACATCAAGAACTTCTAGGTTCTAATGTGCAAATCAATGGCAGCAAATACCAAGTCTTGATGTTAGAAATACATTGTAGTTGACATAATTGATAATTTGATGACCAGTAAATATTTTTACCTGAAAATTCTGTGCTGCAAGAGGATCATTTGGGTTTTTATCTGGATGAACCTGCCTTGCCTGCAAGCCACACAAAATTTTTAATTAAATTAAAATTTGCATATTTGTTAATGCAGTAAGTGTTCATATGCAAAATGATTCATAAAAGAGAATATGGATGGATCTACTATGATCATTGTAGAATCAATTGAGGAACAAGCAACGGAAATAAGCATCAAAATTCTAATCATCCCTAATCAAATTTAGGGCTAACAATTCTCTCTCAGCTTCTGTGAACAATCAAACTAGAAAGACGAAAGAGGCAAGTGAAGATTACCTTCATGTAATAAGCTTTCTTGATCTCGGCCTCGGTAGCCGTTGGGCTCACTCCAAGAACATCGTAATACTCTGTCTCCTTCACCATTTTTTTCCTCCTTCCGATCGGTCAAATCTTTGCTTCGCAGTTCGCAGAGGCAACGAGGGAGGGAGGGAGGAACCAAAATAATAAAAATAAAATACAAAAAATAAACAGGAAAAAGAAGATAAGAGAAAATATTCACAATAATAAAAAAAAGATTCCCTACGTACCTCTCGGGCTCGGGACGCGTTGTTTCTAATTCTATAGTTTAATTAATTAATCCCCGTTTTAGTACCAAAAAAATAAAAATAAAAATGAATTAAATTGATTTATACAAAGACCTTGGGCAGCGATGACGTTCGCCTGCTTATTAGTTAAGTTACCCAGTTAGGGTCGTGTTCTACTCGTTTTATTGTCTTGGTCCAATGGAGACCTACTCGCTTTTGGTGGTGGCCTTGCGAAATTTTTTTAATGCTACTTTCATGTCCATCATGTTACTAATTCATTCATTTTTCGTCTCCAAAATATCAATTTAGGCATTCACACATTTTATAACACATAGATTAACAACACTACATAATAGTATGACGGTCGCACTTAAAAATATTTCGCGACTTAGAACCTGATATAGAACATGATTAATCAATTAAAATGGACTCAGTGTCCTGTTTTATGCTTGATGAAGTTAGAAATGCTGAAACTAATTTTTTATATATATTAAATTAGACTTTAATAAAAGTCTAATATTGTGCTGACACAAACAGTTCAAATATTGTGATGAATATAAGTCCCTTCTACAAGGGTTAGACTTTATAAAATTGGACTAGGCTGAGCCTAGTCATTGTCCAATCCCAACAACCATACAAGTTTATTAATAATTCAGTTTCATTTTAAGTCTCATTAATCCCATTTGGTGAGCCCAATTCATCTCATTTCATAACCCATTAGCCTCGCCACATGCGCTTCCGCGCCTGCGAGAGACTCTTTTTTAAAAAAATTTAAATTTATTTTAGTTGTATTCCATAAAAATAATATCCATTATCTGATTTTTCTTTTAATTTTAATTTTTTTAATATGAAAATATATTATCCCTATCTAATTAATAATTTCAATTCTTAATGTTTGCATTAACCAATGACATTTTCTGGTATTTTGAATGTCTCACCATTCTCTGTCTTTTGCTTTATATATATAGATGACTCATGAATGAGTCATACTAGGACGAGTCATATTACTATATTAGGATGATCATATACATACATATATATATATAGGGTCCACTCTATATTGTATTTTACGAATTCAAATCGTCTATTTGTAGATAATCATTCAAAGATCACCTTTATAAAAATAAAAATCACTTGAATCTAATATCATTTGATCACTCAATTGAATTATTGAAATTTTAGTACTTTCTTGAAGCACCGTATTCATTGATTTTGTATGACACAATTGGATATCGAAACGATTTTTGATTTGTCTAATTTTTTGCAATTATGATCTATGAATGTAGACTTAAAAAATAGATGGTCTGGATCGTTGAAAAACAATTTGTAAAGAACCCTAAAGGGTGTCCCTCAATAGAAAAAGAATATATATATATATATGTGTGTGTGTGTGTATAGAGGGGAATAATGAGAAGTAGTGGTTAACAATAAAAGCCATCCGCTCCTTTCCTTTACTATATGATCTATCCGTCTCAAGTCTCCCTTTTGGGAATGGTCAATTCAATATTTATATACCCACCATTCTACAAGGGCCTTTCTTCTTCTTATTTTTTGGGCTACCCCGGTTGCTTCCTAAGGCTTGTTGTGTTTTCTCACATGTTTTCATTTATGTATGTTGTGTTTAGTTTTGATCTTAGACCATTCATGTGTGATATACTTGTTATCAAGTAATTAAGGTTCGGCCTATATGGTCAATATTGGTATTAGACATGGAAGTATCTCGGAGATTGTGCATAAAGATATGTTGGGGAAAGATCGCCATCACAGCACCAAAAAAGACTGTTGCATACAAATAAAGAAATTTTATGCGACCAACGGGGTATAATCCAATGAAAAAGGGCATTGACTTGTAAATCAACGATCTTATGCTCGAACTCTCATTACACTTTGGCCGTGTATGTAAGATAACCTCCTTCCCCCATCCTAACTTGGGGAGAAAAAAAGAAAAAAAAGAGACTGTTTTCTGTGAAGATTTTGTGTGTTATATGGGGCATGGGATGCAAACCATTGGATCGCCTATTGTCAATTTGGGGTATTATTTCTATCAAAATAAAGTTTCAAATTATTTGCCACATTAGTTAGTATCTTGATGCAATAGCAATGAAGAGCCCCTGATGTTTTTTTTTGTCGTCATCATCCCCTGTGCTATTCAAGACTTCACATGGAACCCCTAAAGAGTGTGCAAATCCCATCTAGGAGATTACCATGAAGATAAACGAAAACCTCCCAGAATACATGAGATTGATCTGCAGTCCCATCTAGTCTTTCTGTTATGTATCTTATCTTAGACTCCACCTCATAATAAAAAGCAAGTTGCTTTGGAGATGAAAAAACAAGTTAATTACTGACAAAAGCAAAAAACAACAAAAACAACAAAAAACAAAACACACACACTTGAGATGAGAGGAGAAAAAGAAAAGGGAAAAAAACAGAAGGCTAGTGGGGTTTGTCTCCATTGTCCATCTTAATTCACAGCCTTGAATTTAGGAGTTGCTGGTTCAGCAGAGGCTGGATGTATTCACCATAGCCATCAGCCACAACTGAGTCATTGAGAGGGTCCTTACGTGCCTCTTCATAGAGCTTTGGATAAACATTCCCATCATAGCACCCAAGAACTGAGCCAAGGAAGTGGTCACTGTAATTAAATGCATCAACAAGGGCAATTACATTTGGACGCACCTTGGCATACAGAGATCTAAGCTGATCATTGGCAAGTGAAGCTTGCTTGGGTTTTAAGCTACCCGTGGAGAGAAAATCGCCCGAATTTTTATGAATCAGATGCAAAGCATATATGTAGCAGAGGGTCTCCAGCTGTTGTTTCACTCCATTTCCTTCAATGTTCTGCTGCAATTTCTCAATGAACTTGGAAACAACAATTAGTTGGCAATGAGCAATTGCAGCCTCAACTAAATCAGTTGAGAGTTCCGAAAAGCCCTCTGATTGATCTGCAAACTTGGTGAGGTTTTGAGCACAAGCAAAACACATTCTAATAGCCCTTGCTTCAAATGCCTCAAGTATTGTATTGGGTTTTAACCAATCCTCAGCTTTTTGAACATTGCAGCTATATTTGATCAAATAATGTTCCATATGACCCATGTAAGCTGTTGCTCCAGAAAGCTCGTAATTTCGACCAGAGGGCAGTTTGGAAATAGTCTTCATGAGGAACCTTGCAACCTGTAAAAGCAGAACAATGTTGTCTCCTTCATATGTACATGCAGGGACAAAAACAGCATATAACTCGGGGAGGCCACTGATTGATAGGTAGCCATGCCCACCGCATAGTTTTCGGCATTCTTCGATGCCATCAGCAGCTGCAGAAGTGGTCAAGGACTTCAAGCCAGCAGTGCAGGCATGAGCCTCAGGCAATGTGGAGAAATCATTTGCTTCCAGTTTTTGTGTCAAATCAGTGTATAGCCATTTCAACCACTCACCAATAAATCTGAAAGCATAGGCAGAAGCCAACAAAGGAAAAAGTCTACTTTGCTGAGTCTTGTAATCAATCACCTGTGTCTCAACACCAGTTCCACTGATCTCATGATTCTCTGAACCAAATTGTCGACGAACAGCGCTATATCTAGCAGCTATACATACTGCTCTTGATAAGGCAATGGAAGCATCAACTACAATTATTTGTCTCACATAAACCATAGCTCCATAAACTAGCTGCCTGGGAACATTGGAGTGTACATATTTACCTTCTCTTGTAACCTGTGACACCCTCATCAGCATTTGATTCCTTGGTATGTGGACATGATCAAATCTTACAAAACCATTGTCCAAGGAATTGAAAGCTCCACTTCCAAATTTCATCCCGATATCACCAACTGTTATGCCTGGAAGAGGCAAGTGATCATCCAAGCTCCGTAGTTGGACAATGAAACCATGCACACCATGGTCTTGCCCATCAGTAATAAGCCTGGCATAGACAACAGCATGTGTTGCAATCTTTCCCAGTCCACCAGGCCACCATTTGCTTGAGGTCAGCGTGGGACTGTGGATTATGAACTCATCAGTCTTAGGATCAAAATTTGCGGTGGTCTCAAGCCCTCGAACATTTGAGCCATGCCCAAGTTCAGTCTGCGCATATGTACCAATAATTTGCATATTAGTTGCCAAAGGCAACCACTTGTTTTGCTGCTCCTCAGTACCTGAGCCTTTAATAGCAGGCACAAACATTCCCCAGTGTACGTAAGCATAAGATAGTTCATCAACATAAAACCTTAACCATGAGGCCTCTTCTTCGGAAAGTCCAAGCTCAGTGATCCTTTTCCAGGCATGAGCTGCTTTTCTCAGAGTGTTCTTAAACAACTCCTTCCTACTTAGAACAGCTCTATTCTCCTTTCTAAAGGCCGGATCACCAGCCACAAGGCGAGCAATTTGATTGGAGACTTGAAAGGCGTAGAGAGAACCCGCCCAGACGATCTTCATCTTCTCCACATCAAACTGTGCCTTGCTCCTCTCATGCGCCAAATGATCCGAACCATCCATTTTCACACAAAACCTTGCAAATGAAGGGAGCAAACACTATGGGAAACTCTACTCTCTCTCTCTCTCTCTCTCTCTCTCTCTCTCTCTCTCTTATCAAATGGATTCAAATTGGAACAGAATGCAGTGCATTCATTGACATGAACTTGGAGAGGAGGAAGTAGCCAGGGTAATCACTGTTGGAGAACAGACACTAATGAGAAACTTTTTGCTCTGCAATGGAATCTAGTAGTAGTGGGGGCTTTTGATACGTTAATGAGCTTGGACTTTCTTTTCTAGAAACGACGCACAAAAAAAAGAAAAATATAATTTGGGGGAGCAGGGACCCCAACAACAACAGCTTCGTGTCTGTTT